CAGGAATGATGAGGCTACAACAAAAATGCATCATTGTATTTCAAGATTCAAACAGACTAAGCAGCTCATCTATCAGAGTAAACCAGAGGTTAGCCATTACTTGCAGATGCAGGAATTCACATGGACACCCCTGAATAGTGTATCAAGTATTGCTAATTAGCAGCCCTACCATTTTCCAATCATAGTTGAGTTCTTTGCAACTATTTCAAAGAAGTATTTCACAATTATTTTTCCAGTATTGATGACTTCTTGAATCACTTTAGGGTCTCTTCTCAAGTAGGTTTATCTTGGTTGAACTGTTAAGGTAACTGCAGGAGTTAACTGCAAATCTTCGAGACAGATCTGAAGTGTAAATGATAGCTTACCCTGCAAAGGTATGCTCTTGCATAGACTGCAACCAGTGGATCTCCAATTCCTCTAATCATAGATGTTAACCGTGGGAGACATTCCGAAATCCCCCTGTTAAGATTTTGCAGAAATGAAAATGAGATTTAACAGTCGATAACAGAATGACATCACTGAGAGATAACGTCAGTAGCTGCCTTGTAGATTGACAACTGAGTCTAAGTTATAGAAACGTCTACCAAAGCAGCAGCATATTAGCACAAAAATGTATTTCAGAAGTAAAATTTTACGTGTATAGTAACACATATCCTATATCCAAGTAGCAGTGTTTGCCATTAGGACTACTGCAGATAGCCAGGTTGGATGCTTGGCTCCTAAAGACAAGCACAACTGAAAAACTTCCTCTGTTTTGGAGGAACAGCAGAGCTATAGACGGGCTGTAATTCAATGAGAAGAAAGCAGCCACTTAATGCAGAACTGGCAGACCTCCTTCTATGTCTCATTTTCCCACAGGTCCTTTTTGACAGAGCTGTACCAGTGCCTGCAGATGAGGCCCATCAATTCCAGTAAAAGAACAGCTTTTTAGGGATAATAGAGTTGTCACTATAGTAGCAATTTGGCTTACAACAGTCATTTCAAAATGTAACTGAAAAAGGAGGATTACAGGTGAAGGAACATTCTCAGCTCAGCAACTGACACTGTTTGGCAACATAGGAAGCTTATACCAAGATTTTCAATAGATAGCAGTTAATAGATAATAGATAGCTCCTAAATTGTTTCTCCAACTCTGCCTTTAGCAATATGACGTATCAGTATTTTCCTTTCAGTTTTGTATCCTGTCTTTTTCCCCCACTCCTCATCTCAGCAATCTTGCTTCCCCCTCCACCATCTGAAGTCACTGGTTTTTAATTTGCAAACTCCTGATGTCACAATTATACCTATACTCCAAAACTGCAAAGCACTACTGCATTTCATATTGTATTACAGTTCACCTTGAATTTTTCCATAGCATTCTCACTTAGCATTCCAAAGCCCCTCAGGACTGCTTCTTCTCAGACCTGTTGAGACCCTATCTACCATTAATCACAGAACTTGCATGCTTAACTCCTGAGATTAGTTTATAAGCCTGCCCATTCTCTTCCTTCCCATACTTAACATTTACTCTTACATTTTTGACAGGAACTTATTGCACTTCAGTATTGCTGCTTCCACGTAACTAAAATGAAGCCAAGTTAAGGAACAAAACTAAGATGCATGCCATATAAAAACACAAAAACAAACTTACATACCAAATACATATTGAATCAACTATTTCAAGGCTTTCCATAATTAATCTCACCATACTGTTGATTTTTATGATTTATCTAGATTTTTATTCTTTCAGAAGTTTCACATATCATCTCTTCTTTGACAGCCATACTACCAATAGCTCAGCATTGAGTCTACTAGGAAACATGACTCAAATTTAAATTCAAAACATACAGCCTGAAACAAACAAAACAAACTCAGTATAAACATCAGATGTTGTGGATTTCATTGAAACAGACATGTTCATTTTAGGGAAAGTCTATGAAAAACCTACAAACATTCCAAGAGTCTAATTTGACAAGGATACAATCTGGGAATGAGTTCTCTGATGGAAGCAATCTTGAAAAACCAGTTTAAGCAAGTTTCTTTGGCTGTGTCATTCACGCTCTCTGGAGAAAAATTATCTGGGGGGAAAAAAACCAAAAGCCCAGAAATGGTTACATTCTTTCTGGAAACAAGTTACTTTTCAGTCTAGGTTTAAAGCTGTATTCTCTTTCCTTTCACCAAGAAATCAGGCACACCATAATAAACTAGCAACATGTTTGCTTCTCAGCTCTGCCCTGCAGCAGTAAGTGCTGAGTACACAGACGGCAAGAATAGGTTAGTAGAGGTTCCATCTTGCATTAACTTGTCAGAAGCTGAAGTTGAGCACTAGAAGCTAATCTCAGATTTGCTACTTAGGAATCTAACCTCTGCTCCCCTCAAAAGGAGAAAATGTAAGAAAAAATACAGGGAATTTGTGACAAATACAGCTATATAAATCTATACCAAATGCATACACATAAAAGAGATTTAAGCACTCAAATTCTTTACTTTAAAAGCCTAATATAATTTTAAAGAATGTTATTTAAAACTATATTGCAAGAATTAGGAAATATTAAACTGACAAAGCACTTATTTTTGTACCCTAAACCTGTAACACTGCAGCAGAGTTCTCTCCTCACAAGCTCTGGGAGTATTTGTGTCAGCTGCCAGCAGGAAAAAGCTGCCACCCTGGGGTGGAACAGATGGGTTGGGGGGCAGTGCTCTGGTCAGGGGGGCACGCAGTTGCACAGCAACTGCCTCCTCTTTCTCTAGATTGCCTGGAGCAGAAGGCAAAAATAGACTTCTTGGGATCAACCCAGGTCTGAGGCAAGATGGTTGGGAAGGATGGGTCCCTCTTCTGTCAATGATAAAGCCAGGCAAGCAGCTTCTGCTGTGAGTATCTGTTCACAAACTGTTTGGGAAACAGTTCGAAAATACCAGTGCTCTCCCAACCCTGCCCCCAGACAGAGGAGAAGCTCCAGCTCCACACAACAGTTTCTAACTTCCAAGACTAGCGAAGCCACACACTAGATGCTGACTGAGTACAGGAAGATGATCTTCCTCATCTAGGGCCACAAGAGTTCTTGTCCAACTTTGTTTCACATGATTCCCAAGGGATGAGCATGGAGGTTGGGCCTGAAATCGCCGGGGGTTCACACTGCTGTACACAGCCAGCACAGCACAGATTTTCCTTCTCCCTCCCACTTCTACAGCTGCTTGGGAAGTTCCCACCAGCAATGCCTCTGGCAGCTCTGTAGCTGCAGCATGTGCTCAGGTCTCCAGAATGGAGGTAGCTGTCCCCACTAATCGTGACATGCTATGGGAACTGTCTGCCTTCATTAATGTCTGTCAGAACAGTCTCTCAGATCTGCAACAAACAAATTTATCATAAATATTTTCTGCATGTTTATTTCAAATGTATGTATTTGTTGATTACAAGCTTCTGGCTCAGATCCTACGGATTTAACTACAACCTAATGCTACTGTTGAATTGCCAGCAACAAAGTAAGAATGTTTCAAGGACACGCACTTAATACACTCCAAATTGCAAGAAAATGCTTGTGTTTCCATGGAATATATCTTTGGATATAGGACCTTCCTAAAGAGGTTCTTCCATACACATTTGTACTGTAAATGTCAGATTAAACTTTTACATTGTGTTGGAACTTCAACTGAAAAAATAGAAAGGGCCCAAATTAGAAAGATTAGGCTATCCTAGAAAAGTGATCACCAACTCAATGACAGCCTGCAGCTTCTTCCAAAAACCTGCCCTAATTAAAGCAAAATTATCAAGTTTCCAGTGTAGCAACAAAATGATCTATTTACCAAAATCTGAGATTCTCAGCTTTGTTAAATTTGTACCATTAACTTTAAGGTACTAAAATGCAGCTCTTTTAGAAAAGAGCATATGCTAAGAAAAAAAGAAAATGGTCTTCCTTCATCTAATTTGGCCATTCATGTTTAATTCTCCCTCTACTTATATATCACTCACTCTTTCCAATTTTGAGTCTAGGGAAGACCCAGTTTACGTTTAGTAACCTCAAAGCCATAAGCACATTTTATTACACCTAAAGTATACTCTTCACAGTTACAATGTAAGCCTGCATGAACAAGGTTATGAATGGTACATGGTGGAAGCTATAAGTAGTGGATTTTACTCTGATAAAAACTAAAAATTACTAGGTTCAAAACAGACCTTTTCCCACGGGAGATACAGTAGATGGGTCCTGCTTAACCTTTCAGAGGTTAGTTCAGACATGATTTTTTCCAGGAGCACAGCAGAAGCAAACATCAAGTTACCTGGCAAGGAGACACGGTTGTCCATGCACATTGACAGGATCCTTTCATACACCAGTTTCCCTGGTTTTAAAATAAAAAAATATCATTCATAACAAACTAACAAACTGTAAAACACAAAATGTTGACACAAAGGTTCCCTCTCCAACATACACTAAAATCAGCTGGAAAAAAGCTTCCCAGAACACTAACATTGTGCTGCCCTCTAGTGACGCTGCAGCGTTAAGTCTGAATTTAGCAGTTTGCACGCTACAAGAAATAAAATGAAATGATCTGGCTCCCTTTAAGCGCAGAGGTAGCACAGGTCAGATTTCTCCCTGGCCAGGAAATGACAGCTGGTGTCCTGCCTTTGTCGAGCTTGGGTATTATGTTATCATCAGCAACTTGTGGTAAGTAGGAAAGAGCACAAAGAGGAAGCAAGGCCTGAAAAATCAACTGGATCTATGTCATAGCATATCCTGCTAAACATTAAAATATCCTTCAACTTGGAATGCCATCGTAAATCTTTTCCATAACATGGCAGAAAATCAAGACAATCATATGAAGTGGATGACAATTTCTCTTAAAGGATCATTTAAAAATGATTAAAATAGATTTAAAAAAACCCAGGTTTTTTTCAGATATTCTGATCACTTCATAGTCCCTATTGAGCTAAGGAAAACTTCCCAGCTTCTATTCTTCAAATATAAACAGAACGAAATACTAAGTCAATAGGCTGCCAAACCCAAAATATTTTCATAACAGCAACAGTGTGTTTTAAATTTCAAAATGCAGAGATCATTTTTCTTCCAGATATTCACTAATACATAAAGCGTAGAACTATAAAATGAGGTATTTTTATTCTAAAGAATTCACTCATAGTTTTTGAACCATTACATACCATGTTTATACCACTAGTGTCTAAATGTTTATGTTGGAAATATTCCATAAACCAGAGTCATTTCAGTAATTTTCAGATATCTTTGATGGTTTGTAACATTACAAGAAATAATTTCACTTTTTTAACAATCATGCAGTAAGTCTGGCACAAGAGATACTTACCAAAAGTATCAAGGATATCTGTAATTAAAACAAATTTACTTGGATAGAACTGGATTACTGTCGTGTCTGAAAGAAGCTTTGAACACTAGAAGAAGAAAAACAAAAACAGAACAGAAACATTTTTAGAGGGCAATGCAAGTTTGTGTTTTTACTCCAGATTGACCACAACAGATGCGTATCTACAGATAGAAAGAACCAACACAAACTATCCAGCAAAAAGAAGAACCACCCCTAACATCATGGTACTCGTATTTTTCAGGTTATTCTTCATTTTCAGCAGAGCAAGACACAGATCTGGTTTTTCGTTACGCAAGGTAATCTACAATGCAGAATTTCAGCTGACCATGCAGATCTGTGCTTTTGTTCAGACAAGACGAATCCTCTTCCAAAAGCAGCATAAAAAGGCACTTCTTTTCTAAAACAAGTTCTTGAGGGTTTTTTTTTTTTTCAGTTACTCAGCATCTCCCTAAGCACCGTATCAACCACAAAATTTCGTATGGACTAAATTAAGAAACAATTTTAATAGTTTAGCTAATGAACTTTTCAACATGTGTTTGTGTTCAAACACCCTGGAAACAGGCCAGCTGATCCACAGTCAGCTCCAGGGAGGTATCTGTAATCAGTGACCACCCACAGGCACCCAACATCATCATGGCATTCAGACTATAATGGTGGCTGGTACAAAGTCATATTTGAAAATATATTGGCCCTCCTAGTTCTAGTATTGCTGTATGTTAAGTCCAGGTAGGAACATGTCCATCTATGATATGAATTCAAAGTACACACTGAGGAATGAAGACATTTTAAAGATATTTAATGAAATGATACTTTGCTTTCCCAGATGGTGCACAAACTGCTGACTAAACTGGAGTCAAAGACTTTGGCAGAAGTTTCTTCACAAAAAATCAACTTCCACCTGAAGAAAACAGGCAAATGATTGACAGGAGAGAGAAATCCACCTCCTCCTCTACTTGAGCTAAATGCAGCCTTTGACCATGAGTCTTCTCTGATCTCTCTTTAAAACCAGATAGTGCAGTATTCTCTGTGATCTCTGTCCTTTCTCTCTCCTTCGTCAGAAAACAGTTCTTTGACCTCAGTGGAATAAAGATCCCAGTTTTCATTGCATTCCAAGAAATCCAGGAAGCAATCCTATACCCCACAAGACTGCTTAGTTTAAACAAGAACATAATGACATTTGAACATGCTTAAACGGGGGGCACACTTAGCCTTTTTGCTTTATTCATCAGGGGGAACTTAAAAGTGAGCGCACCAGAAAGACAGGCAAAAGCATTCACATCTTACAATGAAAGCAGAATATCCCCTACTGCATGTAAGTCAGTCATCTTCAAAGAAAGATAACTCAGTAGCTGTTTGGGACCTACATGTACCATGAACCCTTAATTACCACTTTTCTTGGAGCTCACATAATCAACTTACTTCAGCTTACTCTAAGAAGCTTATTCCTTCTTGACAAGTAAAGTATATGGTAAAAAGGCACTTGAGGAATCATAGAATCGTTTAGGTTGGAAAAAACCCTCTAAGATCATCTTGTCCAACTGTTAACCCAGCACTGCCAAGTCCACCACTAAACCATGTCCCTGAGTGCTGCAGCTACACCCCCAGGGATGGTGACCCCACCCGCTCCCTGGGCAGCCTGTTCTAATACTTGACAACCCTTCTGGTGAAGAAGTTTTTCCTAATATCCAATCTAAACCTCCCCTGGTGCAACTTGAGGGCAATTCCTCTTGTCCTGTCGCTTGTTACCTGCAAGAAGAGACCAACCCCCACCTCGCTACAACCTCCTTTCAGGTAGTTGCAGAGCGCAATCAGGTCTTCCCTGAGCCTCCTTTTCTCCAAACTAAACAACCCCAGTTCCCACAGCTGCTCCTCATAAGACTTGTTCTCTAGACTCTTCACCAGCTTCGGTGCCTTCCAGCACCTCAAGCTTGGTCTTGTAGTGAAGGGCCCAAAACTGAACACAGTGTTTGAGATGCAGCCTCATACAACCAGCCTCAGCCCAACAATCCAGCCTGTCCAGATGCCTCTGTAGAACCTTCCTACCCTCAAGCAGATCAACATTCCCACCCAACTTGGTGTCATCTGCAAAATTCCTGAGTGTGCACTTGATCCCCTCGTCCAGATCACTGAGAAAGGTATTGAACAGAACTGGCCCCAGTTCTGAGCCCCAGGGAACACCACTTGTGACTGGCCACCAACTGGATTAAACTCCATTAACACCACTCTTTGCGGTTGGCCATCCAGACAGCTTTTTGCCCAGCACAGTACACCTGTCCAAGCCAAGAATGCAGTAGGAAACAGTGTCAAAGGCTTTACCAAAATCTTAGTAGACAACATCCACAGCCCTTTCCCTCATCCACTAAGCGGGCCATCTTGTCCTAGAAGGAGATGAGGTTACGTCAAACAGGACCTGCCTTTCATAAACCCATGCTCACTGGGTCTGACCACCTGGTTGTCCTGCACATGCCATGTGATGGCACTCAAGATGATCTGCTCTGTAACCTTCCCCAGCACCAAGGTCAGGCTGCCAGGCCTGTAGTTCCCAGGATCCTCCTTCCAGCCCTTCTTGCAGCTGAGTGTCACATCTGCTAACCTCCAGTCAACTGGTGAGCTGGGACTGCTGATGAACATTTGACAGTGGCTCAGTGAGCACTTCCACCAGCTCCCTCTGTCCCCTTGAGAGGATCTCATCCAGCCCCATAGACTTGTGTATGTCTAAGCAGTGTAGCAGGTTTCTGACCATTTCCCCTTAGATACTAAGTGCTTCATTCTGCTCCCTGTCCCCTGGTACCCAGAGATCAACTGGTCTTACCATTAAAGACTGGGGCAAAGAAGGCTTTAAGTACTTCAGCCTTCTCCTCAACCATTGTCACTATGTTTCCCTGCATCCAATAAAAAATTGAGATTCTCCTAAGCCCTCCTTTTGTTGCTGATGTGCTTATGGAAACATTTTTACTGTCCTTTACAGCAATAGCCAGATTAAGCTCTAGTTGGGCTTTGCCCCTTCTAATTTTCTCCCTGCATAACCTCACAACATCCTTGTAGTCCTCCTGATTTGCCTGCCCTTTCTTGCAAAGGTTACAAATTCTCTTTTCCCCACCTTGAGTTCCAGCTAAAGCTCTCTATTCTCTCAGCAGCTATTCACACTCTGCCTTAATAACCAGAAATCATTCTGCACTTCAAGTTCTATAAAACTCCTGCATATAGAATGACAGCTTCATCCTCAATGTCCAAATGAAAGATCTGTGTAATTTCATTGTTAGTTCTTAAATCAAGATAATTCTGGCATTCAAATCAAAATTGCTTTTTCCAGCCCAGCATACATTTCAGAAAATAACAATCAAAGGCCAAACTTACCCCTCTTGTAACACACTAACCAGTAGGTAATGCTAATCATAGCTTGTGCATATAATCACAGCCTGATGTCAAGAAAACTGCTTAGTTCTTTCAGAGGATATAACGTTCTTAAACGTATGTTATTTACTAGGCAGAACCACAACAAGAAAAGTTCAGTCATGTTTCCACCCTATCCTGCCTTGTAAGTCTTGAATTATTGTCCTTTATGACTTTTTATTCATGTTAATTACCCAAATACCTATTTCATTCTTACCCAGTCTTTCAATTAATGATGAGCATCTGCAGCATGAAGTTCAAGTGCAAAGTGAACAATATACACAACACTTAAGAGAGAAACATGTGGCATTTTGATGCTACTTTCCTAAAAGGAAGCACTGAATCCCATCTTAGAAACTACATTATTTCAAAATCGTTTGTGAAATCATTTGCAAAAGAACATATGACTGCATATTACATTAATTAACATAGAATATATTAATTTACAGATTGTCACTGCATGTCAGACAGCCTATACATATACACTTACTAATGCACTCTAAATACAGTACATCCATGTCCCTTTTCATCCAAAGACTTTTCATATTCTATTCTCTTTCACTAAAATATTCACACTTCAAAATGTTATATATGGATTTTTTAGTATTTTACAGTATTAGTGTTTTTCATAGTATTACAATAGAACATTAGTCACCCTGGGTCACATAAAATTTTTTGATCTCATTTACTTTATGGTTCATTTCCTTTATTATCTTTACCACAATTTAAGCTGAAATTACTGTAAACAGTTTTCAAATGAGTATGCAGCATGACAAAAGAAAAAAAATCCTGACTTTATATAACACCACTTGATGCCTATGAGCATTACATCAGTTTTACAGCTTTCAAGGATGTCATTATCTCATCTGTCCTCTGATGCACTCTGCCTCTGGCTTTTTTTAAAGGCCAAGCTAAACAAAAAGAGCATTTAATGGTCCTATTTCCCCCTGCCCCCCTCAGAGCCCATCACCCCAAATAAGCCAGAGGAAGACTGTGGACAAGTTTAAAAAAGAAAAAAACAACCATGCACACGCTTTAACAATCTGGAGTTGTTTTCTGTAGCTTGCTAGGGTCCTAAATCAGATTATTCAGTTGCCTTAGTAACTCTGCATGGGGAGAATAATGACATTCAAAAAGCCATTCTGTTATTACTTGGGGTGGGGAGCAAGGGGCTAGAAGGGGAAAAGGAGAGGAAAGGAAATTACGTGCCGTAGAAAGAGTTGGTATCACCACGTTATTTACTCTAGTTATCCCTAACCAGGGAAATTTTACACATCTGTCATTTGGCCACTCTCTTTATGAGAATTCCATTCCCATACCCTAGTCAAAATCAATACGTGACAACGAACTTGAAAATCCATATTGTTGTCAGAAGTCATAAAACTCAAAGAAACTGGTTTCAGTGAAGAACAGAATAAAGCAATAGAAAAGTATTAGAAAACCTTCTTTCCCCAAGAAAGAAATGGCACAAGACATCACCACCAAGTGCACCAGTTTCATACAGAAAATGTAAAACTGACCTGGATGACTATTTTCAGAGCTTTTACTTTCTGATCAGATGACCAAGCATCCTTTAAAGACTGGTTCAGTTCTTCAATTCGGTTCATGTAATCCTGCTGCGTCAAATTCAACAGCTCTTTCTGTGAGCCCTGGCAATTAAAAATAAGCCTAATTAGCAAGAGAGGGAGACCATCTTCATTTCATGCTCAGTACCAGAGTACTCTTATAACCTGTCTTCCCAAAGACCTTACAGACCTTATAAAAAGATTACACAGCAAACATAAACTAGTTAAACCCAGAAGCAGAAATAATTGTTTAAGCTTTAGAACCAAACTGACACAGGAACAAAGTAACTAAAAATGCATTTAGAAAAATCAGAAGGTGTTTCTGGAACAGTCTTCAGTAGAAATAAGAGTGACATAAAAAACTAGCTTCAGGACTAGTTTTGATCAGTTTATTAAGCTGTACTACAGAATAGATTTCATAATACCTGAGAATCTAGAAACAACCCAACCATCAGCAGAACAATCACAGATGAAGAGACAAAACGCAAATGCAATTAGTTTCACAAAAGGTTACATACATCCTTATGATACAGGTTCTTCATTTTTCTACTAAAATAACCCAATCCTTTGTGATATGCAAGTATTAGAACTCTGCTGGCTCAGGCAACCTGAGGTTAGTCAAGAAGCAGCAGTTTCACAGTACCAGTACCCAAAACACCTCTAGAAGTACCCCACAGATTTAGGTTTTAGTAAAGTAAGTTATGGAACATCTCATCTTTGTACAGGAAAATACTGCAGGTTGAGAAATAACTTGAGTACTCGGTATTTCTATCAAGCACATAAATGTAACTTTAATCTCAGGTAAACACCATGCAGCTTCTGCAACAATAGCAAATGAAATTATTAGATGTTAAAACATTAGGCTTCACAAAGTTTGATAGCAGCTACAGACCGTACACAGAACCAAGGTAAAGCAACACTGGTACATCAAGATAATTTTCAAATCACAGTTTCTAGTGATACAAAAATATGACTCTGCCTGAATTCTGCAGCAATAAGGATTGAAGTTACTACAGAAGTCCCATGAAAATTATATATTTATCTAAATACTGCATAAACACATGCAGAATCAGGACCTTTTTAAAAGGTTTAATGAAAAATTTTTATTTCACAAATTTACTTCACTTTTTAAATGGTGATGTAATTGGATCAGAAAACTATCTCACCTCTTCCAGATCATCCAGTTCTTCTAACCTTGTCCTCACTTTTTCAGAAACTGCTGAGCCAGTAGTTGTAGCTTTTCCTGTAAAGAATTGTATGTTTGAGTTTCTTTACTTGGACGTCTAAAGGGAAACAAACCTGAAGAAGCTTGACAGACTCAGACAACTAGTCAGCTTCCATGCCAGAAGACAAGTGGTTTGATTCATTTGGTGACTATTCCTGAGGACACACATTTAAACATACCTACAGGTCATTCACTTTGAACAGAGAATGGCAAGTAAGCAACACTGGATATAAATGGATTTTCTTGCAACTTTTGCTGGTAAGGAAAGAACCACTGGGTAGAACCATAGGATAATTTAGACTAGAAAAGCCCTACAGAGGTCTGTGTCCAACTCTCCTCCTCAAAGCAGGTTTGATTTTGAAGTTTTAACAGGTTGCATAGGGTGACATCCAATCAGTTTAACAATATCTAAGGACAGAGATGTCATGCTCTTCCTGGTCATCCTGTTTCAGTGTTTGACCATTCTCATTCCAAAAAAGTATTTCATACTTTTGCAGAAGCTGAAGTGCTGCATGTTTAATCATATATAAAAATTCTGATTTATTATGCAATCAGCTATAACTACTAAGGCCAGCTTTGCTTTCCTAGAAAACATGATAAAATATTTAACATTTGGTTCTTTTTTGAACACTCAGCATACAGCTAAAACCATTCCACTTTCATTTAAAGAGAATAACTGAACACGTTCCCAAGGGACTTGTTTGCTTTCCCTTCCAGCAAGCAGAAGAGTTGATAAAGATGAACTTCAAAACTTTAAACGAAAGTTTTAAGCTATAGTGGAAGGCAATGAATTCCATTTCCTTCCACAACACATAATCACAAATTCATCAGCCTACAGGAATACAAGACAAGGTGGCTGGGTGTTTTATTTTCAATAACTATTTTAAGTAAAAACCCAGCAGAAATCTCATTCACAAAAAACATAGATCCAACCACATGTCAGAATGGGGGAGGACAGAAAAACACTTTTCAAGTACACTTGACCGCAAACCTGTCACTGTACCCTTCCCCAAGCAAAATTTGTTTCTGTGAGAGAAACTGCTTACCTTTTTCAGATCCCATGTACAGATTCTGTAAAGAAACAGAAAAAAGCAGACTTATTTTATAAAACATGTACTCACTAACACTCCAAGAATGCACAGGGTAATTACACTGCTAATGAAGCCTCTAATGATTTAGAAGAAGATATAAGACCAGAAGTGATTTGTGTTGTTACACAAAAAGACAAAGTGATGGTTTCTAAGTATGAACAGACCTTTGGACTTGGCTCCAGAACAATTATTTTAAGTGAGAATTGTGGTATAGCTTTCTACAACATTAAAATTGAAATTTAGAGGAACAGCATTTAGTCATTAAATAATTACAAAACAGCAACAACCAAAATCCATTAAAGGTTTAGTTCGAATAAATAAAACTGGAGAAGCTGCCACTTACAATAGAGAGTTTCTCTGTTGTCGTGTATCTAGCAAGGATTTCACCACGTTTGCTTGACCATGGTTCAAAGTCACTTCCTACTGCTGAGCTGTCATCTTTATCCCATTTCTTTCGTGTGCTATCCTATGAGGGGAGTATGAGTACAAATGTTAAATACAAATCTGGGAAAAAAAAAGAGAGGGCTGAAAAAGGTCAACTTCATGTTTCAGGTGACAACTGATCCTTCCAAAAGTTACAATATTAAAAAAAAAAAAATCCATATTTAAGTAAATATATCAACATCAGCCACAAAAAGAGGTAAAGAAAAAAGAATATGTTATTCTATTAATAAAGTACATTTCCTATTTGCATTAACCTCCTAATTGGCGATACAAATATATTTTATCCAAGGTTGGCTTTGTGGTTTTGTTTTTGGGGAGGGGTTATTTTGTTCAGTGGAGATCACTGCCTCCAGTGTTACCATGGTCGCAGTAGTAGTCACAGGATCTGCAGCTGCTGCAAACAATGACAAGGGATCGGTACCATCCAGTACACTGCTCAAGGGATCCAGCATAGAACTGGAAGAGGAGGAGGATGTAGAAGAAGTGCTTCCTTTCCGGTTCATTTTCTTGGTCTTGGATTCAGTAACCTAAAAGAGAAGTTCAGAACTATTAAATAAAAAGGCTTTCTCTTCCCCCTTTTTGTTTTTTTATTAAAATTTTTTATTAATTTTTTATTAAAAAATCATCAAAATATGCGCTACATTAACTGTGCTGTTGCAGTAAAGCAAGAACAACCCAAACCAACTATAGAATGAGCATCGGCATTTAAACTGTAGCATCTCCTTTCCTCTGAATCTGGAGGCACTCTTTGATAGCATTTCCATTACTTTTTTTTTCCCCTTCCAATTCTACGTCTAAAGAACTATAAGACCAACCACCCTAAATTTCTTTCTAGCACCCCTCCTCTATTTTATTGGGTTTGACCCTCTCCTCCAACTTCCTTCTTGCTATTTGATTTGCTCTGCTAGTCTCATCTTTACTTTATTGTACAATATTCAAGCCTGGAACATCAAATCCATTCTTAAGACCTCCGCCTTGTCCCCCTGCTGACCTTCCTGAGTAGAAGGTGCTGTCCATTTATCATTCATTACCACGTAACTATCATCTCTATGAAGCTGGATTTTTTTTGTACATCCATAGTTTTAAAAGCCTCTCATACATTAAAGAAATGATAAATGTTTTAAAGCATACAGCTGACTGGAAGTTAACCCAAAACCAAATCTTACATCAGGTAATTATGCAGGTTATTTGTAATGCAACAATTTGATTTTAACTTATCCATTATTCAGCATTTAATGCAACCAAGAAAACCCACAAGTTGGAATGCTGTATTTGTCAGAAGGAGCCTGTTTTGACCCATAAAAGCACCAGCAAATTTCTGTAAAGGACAAACAGAATAAACCTTGATGCCTCTAAAATAATAAGCCACTAACATAGAAAGCAACTTCGCTAGTACTACCACCAGCTTCAAAGCATTTTAATTTGAAAGAAACAGAAGTAAAGAGAGGAACACAAACAGTTTAAATTCACATTCAATTTTCCAAAAGCACAAGAAGAAACTCACTGTAATAGGCTTTAGTGGATGGTAATCGCCAAAATCCAAGGGTATGGACTCCAGTTTGCACACTTCAGATTCTGAAACATAGTTTCTTGATCTCGCATGCCTTAAAAAGAGTAAAGGGAAAGTATATACATATAAATAATCACATCCTTAACACATCCTACATCTATACAGATGCAGGCATATTCACAAAAAGAAAAGCATGTTGAAAATAAGTCAATGTAAAGACCAAAATTTCTCTTTCTACTAAGATACATAAAACTGAAACTGAAGAAATTTTACTTTCAGCCACTCAACTTTCCATAGTTCCTCTTTTCAGATATTTCCTACCTAGCAGTAAATAGTCACTGACAGCTCACACCTGGCATACCACTCCCAGGCCTACTCCAATTAGAATGTGAAGCATCACCAGACAATTATACATATCTAAAACACATGTGGGAATGAAGAACAACTGTTTATCCTGCAAATAAGTCTCTTAAGAGTACATTTACAATGTGGCTGTTCAAGTGGTAAGGCAGCTTGTAACGTAGCTAAAACAGGGGACAAGTTCAAGCTTGCACTGAAATGATGTTCCACTTATTCTCCAAGGAAAGGAGGTGAAGAATTTCTTCCTTGGCCACAGCAATGCAGCCAACTTCTCAGAGTAAGCTTATTTAAGTAAACTTAAAATAAGGCTTGGGCCCAGCCAGGGTTTCATCCTCAGTGCGTACTGCAAGATACACCCCTGCCTGCAGGTGCTGTTTTAACAGTGGCTTTCAACCTTTTTACACACACACACAAGCATCACCGCAATTGCTTCAACCTTTTTACACACACACACAAGCATCACCGCAATTGCCAACTCTCTCTACCTTTGACACTTGCCAGACTGCCAGCATCCTAAAGCACAGGCTTTGAAAAGCTTACAGGGAGCACAAACAAGCATGGCAGGTAAAATGGAAAAGAATCTCTCTACAACACTATTGATAATAGAACAAAGTGCATCCCACAAGTGAATGTACCTATTATTATTTGATCATTAAACATAAACCCCATGGCCACTTCTGCACCAGCGTTACCAGACCTACTTGTTAGCCTGCTACCTCAGTGCTGTATCACATAAAAATCAACCTGCTGGCAGCCCCACTGCTCTGCTTTGTGGCTGCAGGCCCCAGTTTTCATCATCTTTCGGTACTCCTAGAAATTCAGTAGTTGCAGCCACATTTATTCCTTCCTGTTTCTGCAAGGTCACTAACCACACACACAGATCCCACCAAAATTACTGTGCTCAAAGTAAGTACCAACAGCAGTCAACCAATGTGTTGGAGCTGTCTTACACCCACGAATTTTCTTAGCTACATGAGTTCAAGTTTTAAAGTATTTCATGCACCAGTGTGTTAATTTTAAAAAGCATAACTCTGGTGTTTTTATGAAACCAACTGAGGTTTTACTAACTTCATTAACTTTTAAGCTCACCAACTATTTCCACTTTTTATTAAACATGAAAGTTTGCTCACACATTAGTGACATGAAAGAGTAAGACGATTTTCAACATGGCAATGTATACACGGAGGAAACTTTCTGGCATCCTAATGCTCTAATTTGCTCTAATTGCTGCATATCACTTTTTTTGATGAACCTCACATGAGGTTTCATTTCTAGTTTTCTCAGGACTACAACCCATCAGCCACGTCAAAACCCAGAACTGGATACATCTGGTGCGTTAAAAGAACAGCCTCAGGACAGCAAGTCTTCCACAAGCAGAAAATCAGCTCATTTTACACAATTTTGAAGAAAAATGAACACGTTTTCATTTACTCTGGCAGAGAAAGAGTGCCTATTTTATCCTTTCCTTCCACCACAAACACCACACTAAGCTATTCCATGTCCCACTCAGTGCACCTCCTCAGCTGTGCACCGAGTGTTCCTGCAGAAATACCGCACACCGCAAGAAGCTGCCTTTAGTTTGCAGCCCGTAAGCTCCGTGTCTCCTTCTGAAGGGCCCGTGAAAGATCACTAACAGAAGCTAAACTGTGCCAGGAACCTCTGAAGTAAACTCAAGTTCATGGTACGAAACCTTCATCTGGCACGGGCGGCCGGTTGCTGCGAGCCCACAGTGACACCGGCTCCGCTCATCAGCGGCTCCTTCATCCGCGTAGGGGGGATGAGGTGATCGAACCAGACCAACACCTTCTCGCTCAGGAGCAAGACCCGCACCGGGGCCGCCCGCTCCCTCAGCCGCCTCCCTC